TGTAACCTCCGACTCCCTGGTTCAAGCGATTCTCCTGCCTCACCCTTCCAAGTAGCTGGGATTACAGGCGCCCACCGTCAGACCCAGCTAATTTTTTGTATTTTTAGCAGAGAAGGGATTTCACCATGTTGGACAGGCTGGTCTCAAACTCCTGGCCTCAGGTGATCCACCCACCCTAGCATCCCAAAGTGCTGGGATTACAGGTGTGAGCCACCGTGCTCATTGCCCTGCTTCAGTCTTGACCTGAGCCTCACGATGCTTCCTCACCCGCTGCCCCTGCTCCTGGGACACGTACCGTGTCTGTACATAAGGGTTTCTAGGGATTGTCCTGCTGGGCTGTGGGCTGACCTGGGGCTGGGGCTGCTCGGTGGGAGGGGTTATGAGGGTCTCAGCATCTTCTCCTAGAGCTCTTCCCCACAGCCCTGGGAGACACGGAGGCCTCTGAGGCTGAGGACTACTACTTCAACCCGCGCCTGAGCATCTCCACACAGTTCCTCTCCAGCCTCCAGAAGGCATCCAGGTAGAAGCTGGTGAACCCTGCCCACCACCCTCTGGCTCCCTTGACAGTGCCCCGGGGCGGGCTGAGTGAGAATCATCCTCTCTGCTCTTCTCCCCACAGGTTCACCCACACCTTCCCTTCTCGGGCAACCCAGCACCTTGTGAAGTCTCCGGAGGTCAAGCCCACAGACCGAGGTGGAAGCCAACCCAGAACAGGTACTGGCTACACCTCCCAAGACGGGACCCACGTGAGTATTGGGGCCACCTCCCTTAGGGCACAGGGCTGGGAACCCTGAGGCCTTGTCCTTACCTCAGAGCTGTGCCTGCAGGTCCTTGCTGCAGGGAAGGTGCAGGAGACCCTGGAGGCCTGGCGCCCACCACGTGAGTACCCCAGCCGCAAATGGACAGCCCCAGGTTTCTTAGCAAGTGGCCAGATGTCCAGCCGAGCTTTGGGGTGGGGCCCTGGCCATCAGCTCTGCGCAGGTGAGTCAGTGTCATCTGCTTTCGTTGCAGCCCCCTGCCTTACGGGCCCAGTGCCCTGTGTCCCTGCCTCCTCCGTGCTGCCCACAGACGGGAAGCTCCCAACGCCCACATCTGCACCCACCCTAGGCCCGGCTCAGGGTGTCCACGCCTCCTCCACCTGCTCCTACATGGAGGCCCCTGCCAACTCCCGTGCCAGGATATCACGCAGCATCTCCCTCGGGGACAGCAAGGGCCCTATCGTGGCAGAATTGGCCCAGCCCCTCTGTAGGCCGTCGTCCGTGGGGGACCTGGCCTCCCTGGGCCAGGAGCTTCAGACCATCACCACCACAGTCACACCCAATTTGGACAGTGAAGGCCAAGAGCCTTCCCTGCACTCCTGGGGCAACCACGAGGCCCGGGCCAACCTGAGACTGACCTTGTCAAGTGTCTGTGATGAGCTCCTGCTGCCCCCCGTGGATGCCCAGCCTGGTGTCACAGTCCCAGAATCGAGTTTCTCAGCCCCTAACCCCATAGACGGGAGCGCCCTGAGGCTCCATGGCTCTGCCTTTCTCCCAAGTCTCCCAGTCTCTGAGTCCCCTGGCCTTCCTGACCACCCCAGTAGCCCCCAGCTTCCAGAGGCTGGACCTGGCGTCCCTGGCGGCACTGCCTCCCTCCTGGAGCCCACCTCTGGTGAGTAAAGCCTTGTAACAAGTAGTGTCTCCCCTAAGCTCATCCCATGTGCTAGTTGGCTGAGCTCCAAAGGTTGACACTTGACCTGGCCACAGGGACTGTGCCATTCATTCATTCATTAACTTAAATTTTTTTTTTTTTTTTTTTTTGAGACAGTCTTGCTCTGTTGCCTAGACTGATCTCAGCTCACTGCAACCTCCACCTCCTAGGTTCATGCAATTCTCCTGCCTCAGCCTCCCTAGTAGCTGGGATTACAGGCGTGCGCCATCATGCCGGGGTAATTTTTGTATTTCCAGTGGAGATGGGGTTTCATCATGTTGGTCAGGCTGGTCTCGAACTCCTGACCTCAATTGATCTACCCGCCTCAACTTGCCAAAGTGCTAGGATTACAGGCATGAGCCACCACACCCAGCCATTAACTTAAATATTTAACTAGCATTATGTGCTGGGCTTAGGGCTAGACCCTGGGACATGGGACATGGTGGTAAACAAAACAGAATTGACATCTTCACGGGGTAGTTCCCAGACTAGATCTTTAAGGAAAGCGTCACATGTATCACAAAGTTACGTGCTCAGGAGGGACAGAGGAGGGTGAGGGAGGGCGAGGTAGGGACAGGAGTTGTGATTGTAAATCAGAGGATGAGAAGAGGCTTCAGGGAGGAGGCTGCATTGGAGCAGAGACCTGTAGGAGGGAAGGGGAGGGAGTCTTGGGGACCCAGAGAAGTGCTCCAGACAGGAGGACAGCATGGAGTCCACCCAGCCACCCTGGCTGCTCACACCAGTGGAATGCAGCTCATCTTGCTCATTCCCTCCTCTCTACCCCAGGCGTACTCGGTCTGATCGAGGGCAGCCCTGCCTGCTGGAGTGAGCCCTGGGTGCCGGCTGAAACCCTGCCCCTGTCCCCGCTTGAGCTGAGCAGGGTGGGGAACATCTTGCACAGGCTGCAGACAGCCTTCCAAGAAGCCCTCGACCTTTACCGTGTGGTGAGCCAAGCCCCAGGGTTGGGAAAGGGTTGAGGGGGCTCTCGGGACCACCCGGCTTTGGTGGCCCCTGACAAGGTTGGCATCCCTTGCAGTTGGTCTCCAGTGGCCAGTTGGACACCAGGCAGCAGCAGGCGCGGAATGAGCTGGTCTCCACCTTCCTGTGGATCCACAGCCAACTCGAGGCCAACTGCCTGGTGGGGACCAGTGTGGCCCCAGCCCAGGCCCTGCCCAGCCCAGGCCCCCCCTCCCCACCGACACTGTACCCTCTGGCCAGCCCAGATCTGCAGGCCCTGCTGGAACACTACTCAGAGCTGCTGGTGCAGGCCGTGCGGAGGAAGGCACGGGGGCACTGAGGGTGCAGCCCCTCCACCGCAGCCCTGCTGCTTCTGAGGACTTAGGTATTTTATGTGAATAAACTGACAGCTTAGAGGAATGGTTCCTGGTGCCTATTTGGGCCTATCCACAAAGCTGTCTTCAGGTGGAAGTGGGAAGGGAGGGTAGAGGGTGATGCCCAGTGGACTCAAGTCTGTCCGTGGGAGGGAGCATGGGACTAGCGTTCCCAAGAAGTTCAGGAACTACAGCCATGACCTCAGGACCAGTCCTCCCACACTGCCCACAGAGCTGCCACAGACCAGTGCGACGTGCTTGTCCAGTGGGGCCCAGGTGTGCCCCAGGGAGGAGCCAGCCCCTCTTCCCTGCCCCCGGTCAGTGCCTGAGAACTCACCAGGACTGCTGTGATCACCATGCACCTACCTTGCCTAGCAGCCCACGCTTTGCCACATCATGGCTCACATTTTGCCACATCAGGGCCTCTGGGCCAAGCCCATACCACATCCCACAAGGAAAACTAAGGACACATGAACAGGCTTGCCCAAGCTGGGTATGGTGGCCTGCACCTATAATCCTGGCTACTCCAGAGTCAGGTGGGAGGATCACTTGAGGCCAGGAGTTTGAGACCAGCCTGATTCCATGACATGACACACATCAGGACCAATCTTGAAGTTCAAAACATTCGGCCGGGTACAGTGGCTCACACCTATAATCCCAGCACTTTGGGAGGCCGAGGTAGGTGGATCACCTGAGGTCAGGAATTTGAGACCAGCTTGGCCAACATGGCAAAACCCCATTTCTACTAAAAATACAAAAATTAGCTGGGAGTGGTGGCACACACCTGTAGTCTCAGCTACTCAGGAGGCTGAGACAGGAGAATCACTTGAACACAGGAGGCAGAGGCTGCAGTGAGCCGAGATCACGCTGTCACTGCAGTCCAACCTCAGTGTCAGCAAGTCTCAAAAGAAAAAAATCCTGCCAGTTCCCACCCAGATGCCAGGAAGGAACATCAGTCAGCACGTCTGCCCTCATGGCCACTCACCTTCTTTAGAGAAACAGACACAGGAATTAGAGCTCTATCTGTAATTCTAGGTAGGGTGGGGAGATTCATTGCTGGTGAAGGGTCAAGGAAGGCCTTTCTGAGGTGATGTTTGGGCTGAAGCTTGATAGAGGACATCTCAGGAACACGTCTAGGCTGATAGCACAGCCAGTGCACAGGCCCTGTGGTGGCCACATGTGGTCTGTGTGGAGGGAAGAGCAGCGAAGCCAGGGTGGCTGGAACGGAGGGAGCGAAGGGAGGGCAGGAGATGAGCTGTGAGGAGGAGCGGGGCCTCACTGGGCAGGGCCTTGTTGTTTCATGACATTTAAGTCCAAGGAACATCCAGAACAGGTTTGTTTGTTGGTTTTTTTTTCCTAAGTCTCTGCTCTTAATGTTTGGGGTGATGCCCAGTGTTGCTTATTTCTCACGACTCTTCCCTGCCTCAGGGAACCCAAGCCCACAGACCACCCCTGCAAAACTATAAACCCACCTGCCTAGTTCAGCCACCACTACCCAAAACCTTCGCCAACCATCCCTGGGCAAAGCTTAGTGTCCAGCCCCCTACACCCGGGAGACCACCTTGGGCCTCTGTCGCTCATGGAATTACCCTCCCTTCCAACCTGTGTCATAATAAAGCCTTCTGCTCCAAGTAGTAAACACCTGGTTTTCAGGGCCCAAGATGGAGGGACATTGGTTACTCTTGATGTCATCATGCACCTGGCCTCTTCCTCTCCTGCCCTGTCATCCTCTGAGAGCAACTTTCGGTCTCCAGCTTATGGCCTCATGGTTGCAACACAGCTGCCATAGCACCCAGCAGCACACCCTCAGGTGGTGTCTCCATTTCACAATTGGCTTTCCTGCAACCCTGACGGGTGCCTGGCACAGGCCTGGCAGCACAGGACTGAGTAGCTGTCCTGATGGTACTGCTACAGGGAGGCCAAGGGTACATGTGGAGTGCAGGGGGCTCAGAGGCGGTGACAGCAGGAGAGGAAAAGGCCAGGTGCACGATGTCATCAAGAGTAACCAATGTCCTTTCAGTGTGGGCCCTGTAAGCCAGGTGTTCACTCCTCAGAGCAGAAGGCTTTACTATGATACAGACTGGAAGAAAGGGTAATTCTATGAGGGACTAAGGTCTAAGTTATTGGTCCCAGCTGCTGGGTGGCCTGGGCCAACCAGGAGCAAAGGCACAGAGGGTAGCAGGACAGAAGTGCAGGTCCTTCCCAGGGTTCTCCCCTTCAGATGAGTCCCAGGCAACAGGAATGGAGATTGCTTTGATGTCCAGGACAGTAAGATGGTCCAAGCACATCAAAGCAATCTCCATTCCTGTTGCCTCAGCAAGAAGGGCAAGTGGGCAGGTAATTAAGATAGGTTCCAGCATGTCTGCCACTTCCCTATTCCAAATGCCACGCTCTGTCCTGGAAGGATCATACTTTCTCCTTGGGCAAACAACCCGGTTAAAAAGCCACTGCCGGTGGTGGAGTGTGTGTGCATGCGGTTTGTGAGATGACAAGGTCCCAGCAGGAAGATGACAGCGTGCTTAGATGGGATATTCCGAAGAGTTTAACCAAGGGATCGTTTGCAGAGGAGTGGCAGCGTCTGGGAAACCACCAGGGCTGGTGCAGAATGCCAGGACTGGCACTGTGGGAGCTGTTACTACCCCTAGGCCACCAGGCACAAGGAGAAGGAACAACTCAAAAGAGCAAATCCCAGGGAGAGGGTAGTGCTAAGGGAGCTGCGGCCCTGACTTCCACACAGGAGGGAGTGGGAATCAACACCCTGACCTTACTCCCCTCCTGCAGGGCACCCCATGGTCCAAATCCTACTCAAAGCCAGATTGCATAGAAGCCCAAGGTGACCCTGCCTCCCAGTCAAACTCCTAGGCCATGGAGCAGGGTGGAACAGGACTGAGAGGGTTCCTGGCAGTGGGCATGGAGAACTGGGTCCCTGAAAGGAAAACAATTCACCTTTCACTGCAACTCCCCCGCTGCATGCACTCCCACATCTACCCTCGGCCTCCCCATGGCAGTACCATCAGGACAGTTTCTTGGTCCTGCACTGCCAGGCCTGTGCCAGGCATCCCAATCAGGGCTGCAGGAAAACCAACAATGGCAAAATGGAGACATCACCTGAAACCCCATTCTGCAGATGGCCCAACTGAGGCCTGGATGCTTGCCCAGAGGAGGGGTTCCTAGGCAGAACGCGGTGGCTCACTCCGGTAATCCCAACACTCTGGGAGGCCAAGGCAGGCCGGCGGTTTGAGCTCAGGAGTTTGAAACCAGCCCTAGGCAACCTAGCAAGGCTCTGTCTCTACAAAAAAATTTTAAAATTAGCTGGGTATGGTGGTGCATACCTGTAGTCCCAGCTACTCAGGAGGCTGATGTGGGAAGATTGCTTGAGCTCAGGAGCTTGAGGCTGCAGTGAGCTGTGTTCACTCCACTCCAGCCTGGGTGACAAAGCAAGGCCCTGTCTCAAAAAAAAAAAAAATGCCTTCCTAACCACCCCCTGCTTATATGTCTACCACATGCCAGGCCTCATGTGCTAAGCATTTTCTCCATGGATCTTCAGTACAAACCAGGAACAGGGAGACTCCTTAGTCTCATTTTCCAGATGAAGAAACTGAGGCTCGAGGACTTACCCTGGGTCCTCGAGAGAGCAAGTGGCAATGCGTGGCCAGCAGACCCTCAGCACTGCCACCCTTGCTTCCCTAAATGAATTGGCACAACTCTCAGGCAATGTGAAGAAATGAAGAAACACTCCCCTCACCCTCAAGCTTTGTACAGACGTCCCCCTCTGACTAGAACACCCTCCCCTTTCATCTGAAACCTCTTCTTTCAGGGCTTATCCAGGAAGCCATTCTTGCACCCCTAGACTGCATCAGGAACAGGGTGCATTCTTGCACCCCTAGGCTGTCCGTGTCCCCAGGACGCCTTGTTTTCTCCATCATGGCTGGGTCTCTCTGCTTCACTTGCCCCTCACTGGGTTGGTCATTCTGGGCTATCACTGGTGTGTCTCCTTCATGGACTTATGCAATCATTTTCAATAAGCTAGGTCTGAAGCCTAGAAAATTTTTTTTTTTTTTTTTTTTGGAGTTTCACTCTTGTTGCCCAGGCTGGAGTGCAATGGTGTG